CCCCTCCCCGCCCCCGGCCCGCTCCCCCTGTTTAATATTTCAGCGCTGGGAGGTTGGAGTGCCAGTCGCCGGCCTTTGGTGGAGCTGCTGCTGGGCGGCGGCGGCGGCGGCGGTGGCGGCGGGAGGAGGGACGAGCCGGGGGCTGGGGAAGCTGGAGGAGGAGGAGGAGGTTATGTTTGTGTTTGAGGTTGTCAAGTGAAGGAGGGATCCCAGGCGCCGCCGCCGCCGAGCGGGGGTCGCGGAGATTCCAAGCTGCGGCCGCCGCCATCAGCAGCGCAGCTTCAGGGCCGGTGCAGCTGCCGCGGCTCCGCCGGGCGTCCTGGCCGCAGGTTCGACGCGGGCTCCGCGGCGGGGGCGCTGCAGCGCAGAGGGCGGGAGGCAGGGCCACCTCCTCGGTGGGCGGGGGTCGGGGAGTGTGCGGGCGTGCGTGTGAGTGTGTGTGTGCAGCCGCCGACCTTGCTGAGGGTCTGGCTGCGTGCGGGGGGCGGGGGGGCTCGTCCCACTTCAGGGCATCCTAGCCTCGCGCGCGTGGCCCGAGCTGCGGTTCTGCGAGCCGAGCAGGTAGAGAGGGGCCCGGCCTCCCTGCCCGCGTTCCAGCCGCAGACGCATTTTGCACGGGGTTGGTGGGTGCGGGCGAGCAGGCCTCGGCTTCCCAACCTCCCGGCTTTGTGGCTTGCTTTCCCTTTCGTTCTGCATTGGAGTGTCTGTTTACTCTGGGCCACCTGGGTAGTTCCATACAGGGTTGGGAGGGCGAGCTCGCAGCAGTTGGGAAGGGGGCTTTGGGTTCGGGCGAGTCGGGTCGGGCTCGGGAAGGAGTTGCTGGCTGGAGAGGGGAGGGGGCGGCGGTGGAGCTGGCGGTGAGGAGGAGTCTCAGGGCTGCTGCGCTCGCGTCCTCCTCTCCTCCTCCTGTTCGCCGCATCCACTCCAGGCTCCTTCCTGAGCTGGCACTTCCATTCCCCCCTCCTCCTGGCAAGCGAAGCGCTTTGTTCAGTGCAGCGTTGCTGAGGGGTTTTCCCAGGCTCCGCCCTCCACATTCATTCATGTTTTTTCTCTTTGCAACTGTCTTTACGCTTTTTGATCGTGTCATGTTTTCGCTCCATGTAGTATTTCTCTCTCTCCTATAAAGGAACGGTTTATCACTTGTGCTAGTCGCTACAATGCTACTGCGATTGAATATGCCCACTTCTCCCTACAGGGATTTAAACATGGGATGGACAGCTAGGAATAGTGGATGAGGCAGTGAAAGGGGTAGCAGGAAGTAGTTACCGATTGAGAATTTGCATATTTTACATTTATGCTCCGAATTGCATGAGATCACATGATTGGATTACAATTGGAGTTCATGCTTTAGAAATTTACCATTTTAAAGCTGTAAAATTAATAAGGAACGTCGTAGTTGAGCATTCAAAAATTACTTTGGCCCTAACATTTCTGAATACAATGTTGAATCCGAAGCTTTCTGATAAATGCTGCTTTACTGCAGGGAGTTGAGGAATCATGTTCTTTATAGACCATTTTGCATAGTGTTAGATGAAATACGTAATGTTGAGCCATCGGTTCATCGTTTTCTTTATGCAACTATGAATGCTTTGGCAGCAAGTTAACATATAGCCACACTAGTTGATAAAATGGTGTTGTTTGTAGCATCTTTTCTCTATTCCTTCCTTGCTGTAATGAAACCATGTAGGCTTTCATAAGGAGAATTAATATTTGAGTATTTTTGTGTGGCAGGCAGTGGTCAAAACATGTATTTTGCTTAGTTTAATCCTTATAGCAGCCCGAGGTGGTTACTATTATTTTCTTGCTTTACTATTGGGAAATCTGCTTTTCAGAGAGGTTAAGTAATGTTAAGTATAGTCACACAGTAATGGAGTTCTCAAGGTCGGTTTGAACTCTTAAGTTCTGCAGTCCAAGGAAGCGGCTTGTGAGTTTGAGCCTCCACGACCTTTGGGTTTAGTGCTTTATCCCACAGCGCCACACTAAGACTCTACATATACAGAGTCCTGGTGTGGCGCTGTGGGTTAATGCACTGGACTGCAAGGTCACTTTGAACCACAAGGTCAGTGGTTCAAGCTCACCAGCTGCTCCTTGGAAACCCTATCTCAGGGTCGCTTTGGACAGCACTTAACAACAACAAAACAACCAAACCATCTGAAGAGTAGGTATTACTATCTGCACTAAAAAAGAAATCCCTGCAAGTAAAGAACGGAGTCATGTGGCCACATTCTTTAGTTGCTGACCTTGGGCAGGTTACTTAATATCTCCATGCCTTAGTTTTATATCTTTAAAATGAGCTCATGATAGTTGTGTTTATTAGTTATTGTTAGAAGTAAATTTGGTAATAAATAGAATGTACATAACTATCTTCTTTCTTCTACTGTACCAAATATCACAGTTAAAGGTTTTAAAGAAAGCATGGGAATCCCATTTTTATGTCTTTGCTTAATAATTAAACATCATTTTCTGTTTAAAGTCATCACACTGGGCTTCACTTACCAGCTTTGTTGCAGGAAGTTCAAACTAGATTTAGCTCTGGAATCCTTGAGAACTTTGTGGAAGAGATCAAGCTGGCTGATTTGGGGAAGATAGGTGATTAGGTTTTGGATTAAAAACAAAATAAAACAACAAAAAACAAGTCTGTTGTGTTTCAGAGTAGAACTGAACTCCGTAGGGGTTTCTTGACTACAGTCTATACAGAAGTGATCTCCAGGGCTTCCTTGGTACTGTTAGGTGGGTTTGAACTGTCAGCTTTTTGACAAGTAGCTTAGCACAAACAAATCGTACCACCCAGGAGCTCAAATCACTTTTTTTTTTTAAGTCTAAGTCAGGACAGACTAGGTTATGCTGTGGTAACAAATAACTCCCAAATCTCGGAGATTTAAACCAACAAAATTCTCCACATGACTGTGGTAGGCTAGCTGGAGCTCAGCTGTGTACTTACACGTACTGATTGGCACAGTTATAGTTCCAGGGCAGAGGCAAAAGAGAGCTGGGGTGGGGGGAGTATCTTGCTTAAATGCCATAGCCTGAAATTGTCTCTCACTCATGGATCATTAGCCAGAACAGTTCAGCTAAATACAGGGAGGCAGGATGCACACTCCTACTAGGAACCTAGGACTAATTGAAGTATTTGGGAAGCAGCATTGATAGCATTAAATTAAATGCATTAATTGAGTTATCTGTAAAACAAGATGAGTGAGTGAACACACTTTGCCCTCAAAGAGATTATGAATGGTCAGATATTTGCTCAGTATGGGACATTTATAACCTGATGCTATACTTTAATTGCCCCTGTAATATTATTTTGAAATACAGTTCAGTGAAGTTTTTCACTCTTCTCTGAGAAAAACATAGTGATTTTTTTTTTTCTTAATGACAAGGCCCAATTATTGGCAATATAACTCATTTCATTAAAAAGAAAGTAATCTATTGTAGCTCTGTCCCACCTGATTACCTTTAGGTCTGTGCTTTACTAATACGTAACTTTTGAAGTCTTTTTCTGAAGGCAGTAAAAGGTGATTTTTGCTTTTATTTCCCCCTAGCACATGGATTAATTGATGGATGTTGAGTTTATGGAGCTACTTTTTTGTGACCTGCTCTGCCTGCAGTCTCTAAGAGGAAAAAGTTACTCCTGAATCGAAGATGCCTCGAACTAAACAGATTCATCCGAGAAATCTAAGAGGTAAGGCTTAAGCCAAATCTTAAGGGCTCTCTTGGGAGACAGGAACGGCAGGACTTACTGAATGCTAACCCTGATTTATTGTAAAGTTCTGCTTCTCTGTCCACTGCCACTTGTCCTCAATGATTCTTGTTTTGTTAAGAGATGCTTAATAAATATCTGCTGAATGCATTAATCAAATTTGACAAACTCACAATGGCTTCTCCAAAATTAGATGTGATTATTACAAGCAGCAATGGGCTCAAGCGTAGCAGCATTTGTGAGGGTGGTGTAGGTCAGGGTGGTGTTTTGTTCTGTTGTACATAGGGTCCTTGTGCGTTGGAACTATCTCAACAGCACCTAGCCTAATTACCGCCCAAGATCAATAGTCTTTTCACAGGAATCATCTTGCAAAGACTGAAATGAATGTGATGATCAAATATTTTATCATTAACCAGATCCCTATTTTGTGTTAATTTTTTCCATCTTCTTCTTCCCTGTGCTTCTTTTGTCATTTATTTCTGTACTGCTCTGTATGTTAGATTAACCAGATATGAAGTTAAGAGTTGTAGCTGACATTTATGCAGAACTTGGAGGCAAAGTGACCTATTTTCCAAGAGGAAGCAGTGGGTCAAACTATGTATGTATGTCACATTTTACACAAAGACTGAAAATGAGGGTTTGCCACCTAACTGAAGCACCATTTTAATATTAGAAAAGTAAGCTTATATTAACCTTCATGTTTTAAAATTTAAGATTTATTTTGTTTTAATGTGTTTTATCAATTGGGAATAGCAATTATTTTTAACATTCAGTGCTAGCAGAATAAAAATGTTGCAGTGTTCAGCAGTGAACTGTTAAAAGCAGACAATTTCAAACAGTAAAATATTTTATGAAATATTTTACATTACAGGCAGGAAAAAGTTTGCAAGCACATCCAAGGCAAGAAGCGAATTAAAAACCAAACAGATTAACTGAAAATATTCTTCAGAGAAATGTGTTTGGCCAGTTATCATAAATTGGTACCTGAAAATAATCAGTTGTGTAACCTATTTGAATCTGAAAACAGTGCTTGTTTCTTGCTTAAAAAGCCAGTACTCGAATTCTCTGTTGTCATAGGTAGACAGCTTAGGCCCAAGTTCAAATTGATGATTGTAGTACCAGTGCTTAATGAGGTGGGGATTTAGATGGAGAGCATTAAGTGTAGTGTGTGGAAGTCTGTTTTTTTCTGACTCACATAGAAAATGTTGAAAAGTGAACATGTGCTTGCCTGCTTCACTAAAACTCCCTGAATAAGGACTGTGTCTCATTTGTTGCTGTGTACAGGGCCTTCATACCCAAGGATGCCAGCCCAGGTGGGCATTTGGAGCTCTGGGCCCTAGTTTATAAGTCACCTGTCCAGAAGGGGCACCTGGTTCCAATTTGCACAAAGGTACCATAAAAGCTAGTAGCATCTGCCCTAGGCTAGCAGAGTTCCTGGCAGCTAAGAGGAGGCCACATATTTATTGAAGGAATGAATACATGATTGAGCTGGAAGTATTATTCATTAGGTCATAAATATTAAATACTTTTCATATGAAGATTTGTACTTCATATTCTAGATAATGAAACTGTCCTGAGAATTACTGAGTTTTTGGTCACAGGCTTTTTTTCCTTTCTGTATCAAATAACTGCTCAAATCAGCAGATGTTGGTTGAACACCATGTTACCACTGTACCAGGTATTAGGGATAAATGGTAATGAAACTTGGAGTTGAGGGAGGCGATAATAAGAGGAACATGTAACTACAGAAGTATGGAGACTGCAGAGGTAGGGGCCATACTGTGTTCTGGTTGGGGGACTGAGGCAGTGGCTTGGAGTGGGTCAGGGTGGTGATTGTTGTTGGTATGTGCCGTGGAATTGGTTCCGACTCATAGTGACCCTGTACAGGGTTTCCGAGGCTGTAAATCTTTACGGGAGCAGAAAGCCTCATCTTTCTCCTGTGGAGCAGCTGATAGTTTTGAACTTCTGACCTTGCAGTTTGCAGCCCAATTCGTAACCACTGAGCTACTAGAGCTCCTTAGGGTGGTGATTGTTGTTGTTGTTATTAAGTGCCGTGGAGTTGGTTCTGACTCAGAGTGACCCTGTACAGGGTTTCCGAGGCTGTTAATCTTTACAGGAGCAGAACGCCTCATGTTTCTCCCACGGAACCGCTGGTAGTTTCGAAATGCTGACCTTACCAGCCTGGTTTGTAACCACTACACTACCAGAGCTCCTTTAGGGTGGTGATTAGGGAATGAAAAATAAGATCTCAGCTCTTAAGGCTGAGAAATTACCCAGGAAACTGACAAGCAGACTGAGTGCATTTCATCCTGGGGTGGGAGCTTGTGTAGTAATTTGGTATCTGAGGGGCTTTAAGCTGTTCCCCACTACTAGAGTTTAAGAAGTTACATTCTGGGAGGAAAGGAGAGGGGATGATGATGGTAGAGAACTAGAAATGGAGAACTTGGAGAAGTCAGATGATCAAGACCTACTCAGTCTACAACATCTAAAATGTGTGTAGACTTAACGTTTTCGTAGGAAAACCCCATTCTTGAAATTGAGTTGTTTTCAAAGAGAACTTGAAATAAATTGGGATGTGGCCCATCAGTGAGAGACTGGAAAGCTACTTGTTTGTTAATCATATGAACTCTTAGCCACTATAGAAAAGCTTGAAGTAGATTAGCACAAACAGCACCATAGAGTCTGGGACCAGGGAGTGACTATGTCAGGCAAGGGAGAGGATGGTAGAGATTTTAGCTTTTAGAGATGGATGGAGAGGGAAGCTGTTCTAACCTGGAAGAATGCATCAAGCAAAGGCGCAAAGATAAGACAGTGGGAAGGGATAGTACCATTAACATTGCTGGTTTTCTTCTCAGTGTGTTTGAAGAGTGTTTTCGTTAGCTGCCTTTGAGTCATGGTGACCTTGTGCACAGTAGCACAGAACGCTGGTCTGGTGCCACCCTCATGATTGCTGGCATGTTTGAGCCTGTAGTTGTGACTCTCGTGCCAATCCATTCCACCAAGGACCTCCCCTGCCCTCTTCTAATGATTGGTCTCTCCTGTTAGCAAACATGATGCCCTCTTCTAATAATTGGTCTCCCCTGCTACCAAATAGGATGCCCTCTTCTAATGATTGGTCTCTCCTGAGACATCTTGGACAGTGTTGCCTTGTGATCCATAAGGTTTCACTGGCTAATTTTCAGAACTAGATCGCCAGGTCTTTCTTCCTAGTCTGTCTTAGTCTAGAAGCTCCACTGGTAGCTGTTCACCCTGGGTGACCCTATTGGGATTTGAAATTATGGTGGCCTAGCTCCAAGTGTCACAGCAACACGCCAGCCGCCACTAGTGCACTGACAGGGCAGGTGGTTGAAGAGCCTTTCCCTGGGAGCTAAAGTATCAGGTAAACATTAGCTGCAAAGATGAATTTTTAGCATTTATTTTACGTTTCATAAAAACAACTTGGAGTTTCATATCTGTTTTGCTTTACCTGTGATCCAATGCTTTGGCCTAGAGAAGACATGGCTACATAAAATGAATGAAATGAGGGCAGAGCAGAGCCCAAATCCTGGAAGGGCGTCGTAGCCTAGCTTGCAGCAGTGAGTGCGGCCCTCGCACGGCTTAGGCTGCCACGTTAGGGGTCGGTGAACCGTGCCTCCGCTCTGTCTCCCTTGACAAGCAGTTTGTGAACTATTCCATAATTAATTCATTATCCAAAGACAGATACTTAAAAAAAGCCTCAGAGTTTGTTTCTTGTGCTTCCGTAGCAGCATTAACTCTTGCACTAGACCTTTCTTTGATTTGTCTTTGGCTCTGCAGTTGGGGTACGTAGACTTTGGGAAAGGTGTAAACCACGGGCATCAATCTAGTGTGTCTTTCTGGAAGGAGAATTTGACATCGTGGGTAATATGTAATGTAGACACATAGACATATCTGTTTGTGTCTGTCTGTGTATGTGCGTGTACATGCGTTAAAGCGTTTCACAGGCGTACAGGATACAGCACAGCTGTCTGTCATGGGAGAGGACACTTAGTTGGCATGCATTTTTTTTTTTTCAGAGACAAAATTTTAATGATTTAGTTAATGAATGACATGACATGACTTACCATGCCCAAATGCCCAAATTCAAACATTTAGTTAATGTTAGTACAGTGAAACTGGGACTCTTAAGTTACCAATAGTCCAGGCCCCTTTGCTCTATTACACACTCAGAAGTGTCTATTTTAAGAAATCCTGAGGTAAATACTGTTGAAGTGTAAGTAATCACCACTTCATTTATCTATTTTGTGAGTTGGTTGTTTTGTGTATCAGATTTTTTTTTTTTTTTTTTTTTTATGTTTTATTGTGAATTATATGATAGTTTACATGGGGGGACTTTAGTTTTACATTCATTCCATCGTATATCATCTCATTGCCATGGTTCCAATCCCCTCCATGCATCATCAGCAACCCAAAGGGTATATCCCAGAAACCCGCTCCCTACACTTCCCCCTCCTCCCCCCAGTTTTCGGCCCACAGTCCCTTTCCCTCTCTGGGTCCAAAGTCCCCAGTCGCTTCATCACTCCGCTTCATCATCTCTGCCTCCATCTTAGGCATCTCCATTTCTCTGGGTAGGATCCTGCTTTCAGCTCTTCTCCGTTGATGGTCCCAGAGGTCTCTGCTCCTATCCTGGAGATTTAATCACTCCCTTCCTTGTTACAAAACTTCCGCCTTTGCATTTCCAACCCTCATAGTCCGTCCTGATAAGCATTATTCACTACAGTATCACGAGTTACCCATCTGTATCTCCTTCATCAGCTCTGCCCAGACAGATTGAATAGTACCTACTGGAGATTCTGCCTTCCACCATGCTCCCTAGCACTAGGTTCCCTCTTGAAAGTTTGTAAGCCAGTCACTTCTTGCCTTTGTAGTCCCCCACTCCCAATTTGAATATCCAATGTCCAAACTGCCCTTCTCTGTCCACTCTGTGTGTGGGGTGTGTGTGTAAATGTTTCTTGCTGTGAGGA